GGCAAATGAGATGCCAACCAGCCAAAAAGAGAAGCTTTTAAAGGGGCAGACCATAAGGTTGAAGGCCACAAATTACAGAGTTCCCATGGTTACTTAAGGTCATACAAAGTACAAAGTTACTCAGAAACTATACATTTTAAGGGAGATACATTTGACTGAGCTAAGACAGGGCATGGGCTTGCAGGGTTACAGAGTCTGTCAGTTATCCACCCCCACCCCTCTGCCATTTATTACCAGCAATTAGCAAAGGAAAGTTAACAGGAGTGGTGGACAGTTACATCTCCTTCTTTGAGAGCAGGGGATCAGGTGCCAGTCATGCACTCCTGATTTAAGGAGTTATATTTTCCTTTATCACTAGACGTTCCCTTTCAGGGCCTAAGTTTTTAAACTTTTATTAATTTGAATTTTTGGTCCCTGAGGAGCATAGGCCCACTACCCAGAGATAAAAGTGAAAATGTATGGTGTGTGGCAAAGTGTGATTAGCAAGATTTAATAAGCTATTTAAGCAACCAGCTCAGAACTGGGAATTTTAGAGTGTACCACAACTCTATGTCCTGGAGCTCTCCTCCACTAACTTGAAACAATTATTCCATTAAGCTGAGAGCTGCCCATTGTGAAATCCGATACCACTTGGGGCCTCAGGAGACTCCACAGCCTGAATTCAGAGGAACACAAGTCCCCTTCTATGAGCCTATTGTCTGTGGTTCTTAGGTTGTTTGCTTACGCTTGTGTGTGTTACTTTGACATAAGTGTGAAGTAAAGCTTATATATTCAAAACAAAAAAAAAGATGTAAATGCAGGAGCATAAACAATAGAACTTGCAAACATAGGAATACATTGTCAGATAAGACAATGATTTATTTGTCTTAAGCAACAAAAGAAAATTGAAATTCATCAAAATTTAAAACTTTCCTTTTTTGAATAAAGTGAACACAACACACTGAATGAGAAAAGATAATGGACTAGTAAGTGGACTAGATAATGGACATACTAACACATACAACTCAACAACAAAATGACGAGCTCCCCAATTCTTAAAAGATAAGACTTGAATAGTTATTTCTCTACAGAAGACATTCAAAAAGCAAATAAACACACACACCAAAAAAAAAAAAAAAAAAAGTTCCTCAATGCCATCAATTCCCAGAGAGGTACCAATATGACCACAAGGAGATGCCACTTCTGACTGATTCATTAGGACAGCTATAATCAGAAGAGCATGATCACTGCTACAACAGCTGCAAGGGGCCATGAGACCAAAAAAGGTAGATGGACCCAGGACTGTTGTGTCATGAATTTGGGACTTTCTGACAGAAGTATGGTGGTCAAGACAGCAAAAAGACTGGTGATTTTCCATTACCTGGGTCAGAAGAAGAACAATTTTGTTACCATCAGGACATAATGGTTTCTCCAAAACCAAGAACACACCATGTTTGTCTCAATCTAATGCCAAAGATGGCAGACATATTCTCAACATTAGGCTCTTCTCATACAGTCCCATACACCACCTTAAAGGTTTTGTCTACAAACTATGTCAGGAAGTTCACTAGGATTATTCAAGGGCACTCATTGTGATTACGACCCAAGACGGCTGTAGTCATTTCAACTTTGTCCCTACAGTTTGCAAGATTCAGAGGAGTCATAACTGTCACATACTGCTAGTAGGCCAGTAAAGTGGTAATGTTGCTTTGTTAACTGTTTGGCAGTATCTCACAAAGTAAAATGTAACTATACGACTAGGAAATTAAATTTTTAGTTCCAATTGCAAATATAAGTGCACACAGAAATCTTTAAACACATGGTAGCATTATCCCTAAGAGCTGAAAGGAAAAAACAAAAAACAAAAAACAAAAAACAAAAAACAAAAACAAAACCCCAAATTTCCTCAACTAATAAAGAGATCAATAAAAATGTGACCTATCAACACAATGGACTAGTATTTAGTCATTAAAAGGAAGGAAGTACACGCTAGAAGATGAATGAACCTTGAGACTTCGTGCTGGTTTTAAAAGGCCAGTCAGGACAAGCAGTGGTGGTGCATACCTTTAAACCCAGCACTCAAGAGGCATAGGCAGGCAGAACTCTGTGAGTTTGAGGCCAGCCTGGTCTATAGCACAAGTTCCAGGACAGCCAAGACTACACAGAGAAATCCTATCTGGGAGGGGGGAGCAGTTAGGAAGAGCATAGGTAATTCTACAGAGGCAGAAAAAGATGACTGGTTGCCCTTGACTACAGATGGGGAAATGAGGAAGGTGATGACAGCTAAAACTGACAGATTACCTTGGGGGTGTGTGTGATGAAGTGTTCTAAAACTTATTGGGGTGATGGCTACACAACTGTGAATAATCAAAAAAATTGACTCAGGTGCTTAAATAGAAAAATTGCATGATATATGTATTAGATCTTGAGCGGGGAAGAAAGAAAAACCTTTATAAAACCTTTGTTAAATTCTAATAACAAACTGTTGTAGATACACATCTCCACTGTTCCCAGTGTAGACCAGATGAATACCAGCAACTGATACTTTGGTGCTCATCTATTTTCCTCTACTAGACATACTAAACCAGGAGTTCCCTGAGGCAGGGATTTAACTACTGTTCCTTGGAATTCAGTGAGTGTCTGCACACTGTGTGCATGACATATGTTAGGATGTACCATAACTATTAGTCAAGACTACCTTTAAAGTGGTCCTGAGGGAAGCTTTACTTTAACTGGGTCCATCAGGCAAAGTCTAAAGAGGGCACATCTGAGCAGAAACTTAAATAATGAGAAAGAGAAGAGCATTCCAGGAATGAAGAAAACAGGAACGGCAAAAAAACATCAAGATGGGAACACTGCCCATCAGTACCTGGGATCTCAAGAGAAGGAAGTTACATCTACAATGAACTCTATACCCTCTACAACAGTGAGAAGCAGAAGTGTCTTCCATTCATATTCAAAAGTACTTCTTAAAGCTACTTCAGCCAGGGGAAAGAGGGTTTTACAACTCTTCACTGTTCAGGATCATCACAGATTTTGAAGATGATCTTGATGATAATCACTCTTCAAGACAAAAAAAAAAAAAGGGATAGAAAAAAATGAGCAAAACTTTGTAATGACAGAAAGGGGTGGGGAAATGGCAGCTTTACAAGCACAGCTCATCAAAAACATTCTGCAGGCAGAATAATGTGCTCAACCTGCCTTCAGCCCCTAGAGCATGGTGCTTTGCATTTATAGTATTTTTAATCTGTAATGCTCCGAAGGATGGAAGGACAGCCAATATGCACATATTCAAAGAGGATTACAGTTCAAAGGGAGCTGTCCAGCAACCAACAGGCTGAAATCAGAGGAAATGTTCACAGACTGTTCACATACATGGCTCAGGGATGTTACAGAGATTATTCACAAAATAAAGTTGCCAGCAGAACTTTGAGAACAATAGCAAGGGCTATTCCAGTCCCTTCTCCCAGCATTCAGGACCATGCATTTACAGATTCTGTAAAACTGCCAGAATGTAGTAGTCAAGGGGGCTGATTTTGAAACATCACATTCAGAGAGAGAGAAAGAGTGTGGAGAGAGGGGGGGGGGAAAGGAGAGAGAGAGAGAGAGAGAGAGAGAGAGAGAGAGAGAGAGAGAGAGAGAGAAGCAAAACAAGAATTAACAAGTATGAGTATAAACTTGCTTATCTCTACCTCAGGAACAACAATAAAAAATGGTTTAAATTACTGAGCAAAAATTTGATGACTTTGTTGTTTTGAGACGGGGTCGTACTATGTAACCCTGGCTGGCCTGGAATTCATTAAGCAGGTCAGGCTGGCCTTGAACTTACAGTGATCCTCCTGACTCTGGAATAGTAGCATTCATTACAGGTGTGCTAGATCAAGGCAACAAAAGGCTGAACCAGTGAGCATCCAAAACCACTTTGAAACGCCGCTACCCTAAGGTTCCTACAGAATCAACCTACTAAGTTCAGGCACAGGTGACAAGATGACATGCACGCTATTGAGGGGAATGGTGTGGGCCTGGGAGGGCAAGACCGCCCTTGAGCATCGCCGGCGCTCACCTTCGGGGCCCGGCGGCGGTTCCGGCCGCTTCCCGCGGGACAAAAAGGCCTTGGGCAGCAGCAGCGATACGGCTAGGACAAGCCCCGAGGCTAGCGCCACTTTCTGCACCGTGGAGTACGCCATGGCTGCGTACTGCGGGGCCCAGGAGTTGAAACCGGAACCGGAACCGCAGCGCGCAAGCCGGCTCACTACCGACCCGCGGGCTGCGCAGACGGCGGCGCGCGAGGGCCAAGACTCTTGTGCCCTCCTCTACGCCGAGTGCCCTAGGGTGGTGCGGTGTTTGTCAACCGCAAGCTTCTGCCTTCAGCCCGCCCTGCAGCTGTTACCCAGGCACGAGCATCCCCATACCTGAACCTGGTTGTTTTGCATTCCTCTTTATATCTGTTCATCACTCACCTCTAACTCCTTGCCTCATTTGCAGGAGTAATTCACTTTCCCAGCATCTCTTCCACAACTCCATCTGCAATCAAAGGCGATAAAACCAAAACGCAGGACTGCTGAGCTCTAGCCGTACCTCAAAGCCTTCCAGAACCTACCATGACCTTCAAAATGACATCAAACTTCTTTATCTGACCTTAAGGGCCTGCATGACCTAGTCTTACCAGTGTTCTTTGGAAACTGGATGACTCATTTACTACTAAATTTCTTGATTCGAGGGGAATTTGTTTATTCTGTTTCCTATACCTGGAAAATTCCTGCTGTCATCTTCACCTGTCAAAAACTCATCAGAAGAAACAGCTTAGATCAACCATTGTAATGAAACTTTTCAGCCAGCCTCTTTATGTTACAAAACCTTGGCTATGTCACCTGCCCCTGCTCCTTTAACAAATGTACTCTTTTAGTTTTAAAGTACACATGAAACTCTGAAGTTAGCATCGCAGGGTGTAACAAATCAAATGGGTTCCACTGGGAAACAGGTAGGTATCTAAACAATATCTGGACTGCAGCCCAGCTGCAAAGAGGAGTCAGGAAAGGCTCTGCTGGGGTGAAATTTGAGTTCTTTATTTAGTAGGCAGACAGGTGAGAGGGGTTAGGGTGCATTCCAGGAAAAGCAAAGAAAGCTAAGGTGGGGAAGCCCGGAGCTTCCTGCTGTGTTCAGAGAACTACCAGTAATTTATTTTAACTGGATGTGCAGCTGGTGACCAGTCATAAAGTGGTGAGACTGTAGATCTCAGAACTAGGTCCTGAAAAGGTATAGGGAGAACTTCCAGCTAAACATGAAGGGCATAACAAATGAATTGATCTTTGCTTTCCCCTAGACACCTCCCAAAATGAAAAAGGGTTATAAACCTACAAGACTAAAGAGAATGCTAGAAAAAAGGATAGCAGATGAGAAGGGTCAAAACTGTGTAAGGTGCACAGCAACACCATCCAATAGAAACCCAAGTCATAATTTCTAATATCCATATTAAATGGGTTAAAATAAATATGTGAAATTAATTTAAGTAAGTTTTATTCAAACATATATATCCAAAATATTATTTCAGATTGTGTAGCACTAGTCAGTCACATTTTAGTGACTGCTCCCAAGAACCTATAAATCCTAGTAATTAGAAGCACTGGTTATCTTTGAAGGTCGGGGTGTGGCATGCAGCTGAATCAAGAAGAACTGGTTGAGGGTCTAGTTAAGAAGCAGATATCCAAACTACGCATGGTGATGCACACTTTCAATCCCAGTACCTGGGAGGCAGAGGCAGGTGGATCTCTGTGAGTGATGGCCAGCCCGATCTACAGAGTGAGTTCTAGGATAGCCAATGTTATATAATAGAGAACTCTGTCTCAAAAAAAAAAGAAGTAAATATATCCTTCAAATTTCTTTCCTACAGATGTTTGTCCCTGCTGGCACCCTTATTTATGTCATCCATACCACTGAAAGCTGTGAAGTATTTACTGTGTTCTCAGAGCCGCGAGTATTGCCTTAGTTACTTTTCTGTTGCTGTGAAAAACCCATGACTAAAATCAACCTGTACTAGGAAACAGTTTATTTCACTTACAGTTTCTAGTCCATCATCAAGGGAAGCAGAGGCAGGAACCGAAGCAGAATGCTGGTTTGTTCATCCGGCTTACTCAGCTTCTGTTTTGAAATAACTGCCCAGAGATGGAGCCACCCACGGTGGGCTGGGCACTCTTATATCACACCAGCAATCAAGAAAATACTTCCCACAGGAAAATCTGATGGAGGTAATTTATTAATTGAGGTTCCTTCCTCCCAGGTGACTCTATTTGGTGTCAAGTTGACAAAAACTACTCAGCAAGCATAACTCAATTGATTGTCCTAGTAACTATATGAAGTAAGCAATAGTATATGACCATTTGAGAGATGAGAAAAACAAGGCACAAAAAACTTAAGAAACTTGCCAACAACGACCTGAAATAATTTGGAATCTGTGATTTAAACCCAGGGATACTTTCACTAGTACTACTGGTTTTACTTTCTGCAAAGGCTGGGCCAAAGAAGCTCTGAGCTCATGGACAACAGGTGTAGGTTAGGAAGCTATTACTGATGGAATGTGACCACCAAGAGATACAGGGGAATCTGAAATAATCTCCCAAACTCTTGTTTGTATGACTGGATCAGCATTGATTCTATATAACAAAAAATTTCATAACAGGAACATAATAAAGTTGGCAAGAAGATCATGGGTTCAAATTTTGATATTGATATTCCATGAAATACCTGAAAGGCCCAGACCCTCACTCAGCCTCCCTGCTTTGGCAGCCATGACAGGCTGCAGAAAAGACCCAGCAAGACATAGGCCTCTGACTCAGCAACATGTGCTGACCCCCATCCCACAGACATTGCCCTAACCACTAGAAAGCCAGATACCCTCCATGTGGCAAGGAACAAATCAGAAGTTAGCTGACAGGCTCTGGATGTGCTTTACTGATAATAGTGGAATGTAGAGCATAGCAACTGCCCTGGGAGGGACTCTAGGCATAGCAACCTTCTTTCTGCAGCTGCAGCTGACCAATCAACTCAGGACAGGTTGCCCAAGCCCAGAGGTGCACCAATGGAAACTCAAGAGGTAACAATGAAAATTTAGTTAACAGTGCTATGTTGAAGTTCCCATGTGTGACAGAAATGGGCAGATGAAGATAATGACCCAGACGTTAAAATCTTGAGTGAGAGTTATAAGATTGAAAGGTAATATTATAGAGATATAACAAACAACTATGATGAACAAAGAACTTGATAAGTTCTTTTAAGGAGGTGTGAAAAGTGTGTGTGTGTGTGTGTGTGTGTGTGTGTGTGTGTGCATGTATATGTGGATACAGGTGTGCATGTATGTGTGTGTGTATAATCAAATGCATGTGGACATCAAGAAGAGAACCCCAGGGCATTTCAAGTGTCACAGGAACACATCCACTTTATATTTTGAAGCATGGTCTCTCACTGGCCTTGGAGGTCACCAAGTAAATTAGCCTAGGTAGGCTAGCTGGCCAGCAAGCCCTGGGGATGCACCTATGTCCACTTACCAGCACTGGACTGAAAAGAATATGACACCACACTTGTTTGTTTTTGTTTTTAACTGGTCCTGGAAATTGAACCTAGTTTTTCACACTTGTAAGACAAAGCCCTTTGCTGTCTTGGTTGTCTCCTTGGCCCCTGGAGCTATATTTTTTGTTATTGTTATTGTTAGTGGCAATGGTTTGCTTGCTTGTTTGTTTATAAAGAAGCATCTATTTGAAAGCATCAAGGAGGGTTGAGTTGTATACATATTATATTTCTAGGCTTTGAGCCATGGGAAAAAAATAGATCTTGTTTAGGAAAGAAGTGCAAAGGAAACAGCACAGAGGAAATAGCCAAGTATCCATTAGAATAAGAAAAGTTAAGAGAAGTACAGAAAGGAGAGGAGGCACCAGGGTGAAGTACGGGACATTTGTACACTATGTGAAAATGTATTGCTGTGACTGGTGTAATAAAAAGCTGAACAGCCAATAGCTATGCAGGAGATATAAGCAGGACTTGAGAGCAGAGAGAGAGAGAGAGAACTCTGGAAAGAACAAGGTGGAGTTGACAACCAGACTCAGAGGAAGCCTAATGAGCAGGACAGAGAGATGAGAACATAGATTAAAATAAGTGGGTTGATTTACATAAAAGCTACTTAGGAACAAGTCTAAGCTATAGACCAAGTTTTCATAATTAATAAGAAGCCTCCATTCATTATTTGGGAGCTAGTGCCACAGAGAAAGATTCGTTCCAGGGGAGGTTAAGAGATGAAATATGTTATAGTAGTACCTGGATGGAGGACCGTGTGAAGACGAATGAACTGGTGGCTTAGCTTTCAGCCAGTAGCCACAGTGAATGGACAGAGACTGTGATCACATTAGACCAGGGGAGCCGCCTAGTGAAAAGTGAGCACCAAGTTAAAGTCCAGACTACCTAACTGGGTCCACATTCAGCATTGCAGCCAGATGAAGTGTGGTCCTGGAAGTGACAGGAGCCTGCTTAGGGGGCATCTTGGATCCAGAAATATACTATAATTAAAATCCTCTAGAAAAATGAAGGTCTTATCTCAAAGCAAGGGCTTAGGTTTTTCAATATAGTATTGGAGAATGAGGACCACAAATCTGATGGGTATGAGCTATATACTAAATAAATGTCAGGGAGGTAGAGTTGGTGAGTCAAGTCCATTCTGTTTATGATTTGCATGGAAAGAAGTGGTGTACAGTGATGATTTGGGATGTCTGAAGGTTGACGAAGGCCTATATTCCTTGTTTGTTTTTCAAAGACAGAGTCTTATATAGCCCAAGATAGCCTAGAACTTGCCACGTAGCTGAGGCTGTCCTTGAACTTCTAATCCTCTTGTTTCCATCTAAGTGCTGGATTACAGGTATGTGCCACCAAATCTGGTTAGGGCTGTTCTTTTTTAAGGGAAGAAACAAACATATTTGTGTTTAGCAGGAAATGTCAGAAAAAGGATGGTGGAAAATCTAGAAGCAAGAGGGACCAATATTAGAGCAAAGGCCAGAGCTGAAGCAGACATGAGGGCCACACACCAAGGACTCAGCTGTGGAGTCAGTGTAGAGCAAGGGGCCAGGAATGAGTTCAGGCACACATTAAAGGAATGGTGTAGTGACAGCAGATCATGGGAGTGTGTTTCACAAGGTTGCAGTCCTCC